TTCTATTACAAAAAATCTTACTTTATCTTTTAGTTTTTTTCTAAGAATAATAAAAATGAATATATAAATTATTCCTAAATCTTTAATTTAAAAAAATTAAAAAAATCACAATTATTTTAAGATGGAGAAAATAATACTATTTAATATAAAAAAATGGTACAATAATTATACCTTTAATTGAAATTATCCCAAAAATCAATAAATTAAGTCCTAGTCCTAGTTGAAATTGTTTTCGCTAAATACTACTCGTGGTAATTGTAGTTGAATTCAAATTAAATTAGTAATCTATGGCTTATTTAAATTAAAAAAATCTAGTTTCCACCAAACTTCTAGCAGGCGCACATACATGGCAGTGCCAGTCGAGTTCTCTCAGGATCTCGTCGAAGAAATTCTTGTAATGCTCCCTGTCTCGTCTCTGCTACGATTCAAATGCGTATCGAAGCAATGGTTCCTTCTCCTATCCAATCCAAAATTCATCCGAAGACACCAACTTAAAACTTCTGTTCAGACTTGCCAGGTTTTCTTCGAAGGAAATAGGTTTCCTCCTAAATTCAGTCTCGGCACTTTAAAAAACAAGGGTGATTATATGAATCTTTTTCAATTGGTAGAAACAACGATTGAAGCGCCGCAGTCAGAGGTGTATTGGGGCTTCCTGGGTCACTGTGACGGCCTCTTGTGTCTGCACTTCGGTTCAGTGGAAACTCGTAGGAGCAGCATCGTTGTTTGGAATCCGTTAACAAGGGAAGAGAAGAGAATTCAGGTGCCAGAATCTTGTTGGAGTAAATTTGAAGAGTTTGGGTTCGGTTATGATTCCTCCAGTGATGATTACAAGGTCGTAGTAGTGACATATTGTTCAAGTAGTCCAATCAAAATTCATAGCTTGGGGCTAAACAAGTTTTCATGGAAAACTACTCAAGGTAGCATACAGGACTTCTCTAACTGCTCCTCAGAGTTATCTTCAGTACATGTCAATGGCTACCTTTATTGGGCTATTGGATTCGTTCGTCCTGGACCTAAGCACATAGCATGTTTTGATTTGAGCAGAGATATAATGACAGTAGTGGAAACTCTGGGTGGAAAATCATTTGAAAAGAGTCAAATGGAATTGACTATTTTGGGAGGGTCCCTTTGTCTGGTAGAGAGTGAAGATTCGGTTAAGTTTGATGCGTAGATTATGAAGGAAAATGAGGCAACAAAGGCAAAATCTTGGTCTAAACTTTTCACAGTTTCTACTACATACAGCATCTTCACCCCATTGACATGGACGGCCGTTGATGAGGATGTGATCATTCCCATCTGTTATACAAAGCAAGGCAAAGTCTTAATATATGCAACTGAAAGACAAGGTCTTGTTCTATACAACCCGAATGATGGATCATTTGACAAGCTTGCCGGTAGCGGCGCCAGTGGCTATGACAATGATCGCCAAATAACTTGGATTCCTGTGGCTCCATATGTGGAGAGTTTGGTTTCACCGTAAGAAAGCATATATAACAGATTAAGATAGAATGCAGGGAGTAAAGCATTATCAAAACAAAAATGATTATGAAACTCTCAATTCTAATCATATTGCTAGTTATTATTATTGTTGTTATTATTTTATGATCAGCCTAATCATATTGCTGTTAGTTTAAGTCTTATGTTTTTTTTTTTCTTTTTTATACCAATCTCTTGATATCCAAAATTCACATTAAACCTCAATAAATTTAAAATAGAAAGTTCTTCTAATACTTGTTTATTTATTTATAAGATTTGAATTCAAAATTTTATTTAAAAAAAAAAAAACAAATTCCTTTCATTTGAATCAATAAATTATTAGTTAAGTCTTATGTTTTTTTTTCGAAATGTTAAATGCTTCGAGAGTATATGCAACCAATTTTTTATGGGTAAATTTAGAGATGAAGTGTACAATAAAAGATATAGTAATAGTTCTCATCTTCCTCATAATGCATGTTTGAATTTTGTTTTTAATATTATTTGAGTGAAAATAATTTTAATGTATTTTGACTATTACCTTAAAAATAGAGCTTAACTAATACTCCCCCTTTGTAAAATAGCTACTTTTTAAACTTTTTTTAATTAAGAATTTAGGGATAAATTATGTATTTATTTATAGTATCTTTAAAAAAGAAATAAGTGTGTTTGGTTTGAGAGTTTATAAATAATTATCAGCTATTAATTTTAATTAAACGGATTAAATATTTCAAATTATAAATAATAACAATTAATAATTGTTAAATACAAGTTATAAACTATTAGTTATATCTAAACAGTTAATTCAAATAATTTCATAGTAAAAAATAAATATAGAATTTTTGTGATTGAAGGATTAATTAAACTAAATGAATAAAGAATAATGATATGAGTAAAGTAGAAGAAAAATATGTTTACTTTAAAAAAGGAAAAATTAGTAATTTATTTGAGATAAATAAAAAATAAAAAATGATAATTATTTTGAGATGGAAGAGTATTTGTAAACGAATTCCCTTTTCAAGTAAGTGTCTTAATGGAAGAGGGTAAATTTGATAAGAGAAAAATGCCTCCATTTTCTATCCAAAATAAATTATTTACTAAAAAAATCAAAAATAAAAAAATAAACTTGAGATTAATTAAGATTGAAGTTCACAAGAAACAGAATTTTCTAGAATTTCATGTAAATAAGGATACAACTTTTATATATATTTTTAATTGAGGATATGACTCTTTTTTTTATTAATCATAATTATAACATTTTAAAAGTTTATAATTAAAAATTTAATCTTTTATAATTTTACTAATTAAGGATCGAGTGGCTTTGCATACTTAAGTGATTAACATATTCAATATGTGGAGTGGCTTTGCATACTTAAGTGATTAACATATTCAATATGTGCAGTGTTAGTGTTATAAGAATAAATTTTTTATATTATATTTTTATATAATTTTTATATATTATTAAATAAATATATATATATTTAATATTATAAATTTCATATAATTAAAAAAATTAATTACTTAAATAACATATCAAATTATATAAAAAAATTTATATAAAAAAATGGTTACAAAATCATTTCTCACGTAGGCTTCACTTTTCTTCCGATGACGTGGTTAAAAATAATAACGTGTATGATGATAAGGAGAAAAAATAATAAATCATTTCTCACGTGGGCCTCACTTTTTTTTCGATGACGTGGTTAAAAATATAATGCGTATGATGATAAGGAGAAAAGATATTAAAAGAATAAAAAATAATTTAAAGAGAAATTTTTGTATTATTTTTTTTATAAATTTATGTATTATTTAAATAATTAATTTTTTATTTATTTAAAATTTATCATATTAATTATATTTATTTATTTAATAAAAAATTATACAAAAAAAAAAAAATCTTATATCACCAAAAAAAAAAAAAGCCCCGTAGGTTTTTTTCCAACTCTGACTCGTTCAGTAAGCGGGCATATGCACAAAAATGCCACTAAGGTTACGAAGCAACCATGGCTATGGAGGAAACTTCTTCGACTTCGGTGATCAAATCACCTGCGGTGCGAATCTCATCACCTGGTGAACCGTCATGGTCATAATCCAACGTGCTTGATTCGATCGAGGTGTGCGATGACGACGTTGAGACTGATTCAGGATCCAAGTGAGCTCAATTCATGGAAAAGGATCAGTAGAATTCCTTTTGAAGCCTATTAATCGCAATCTGCATAAGGTTCTGCGCTTGAATTAGCTTCTCCGACGCTGAATCCTCAGAAATTGAAACGCATCGCCTTCTGCAAATCATTAACACATTTCAAGAACTGCATCGCCTCTCTTTTGCTCTCGTAGAATAGAGAGAAGTAACTATGGCATGACTTGATGTGTCCAGATTCCATTTCATGATGATCGAATCTGCTGCGTCAATGGTTTGATCAATTCTTTGAGGAGTTGACAAAGAATTGCCAGAAATTGAGAACGATGGTGTCCTTAGGGAGTGAAAGCAGAGACTCCTGATTCGGTCATTCCTTTCCTAGGCATTTGATCAGAGGTTACAAGAGACTAATGTGATTCCGTTGAGGGAATTAACGTGACATTTTTTTTAGCCAAAAACCTCCCTCTGAAGCCCGACACTTACTTAAAATTAACATATGAATCCATAAACTAAAAATAATGTAAATAATCCCTCAAATTATTCAAATTATGCAAATTAGTCCACAAACCCCTTGAAAGATGCAAAATCAGCTCTCATCATTAACTATTGAACACATGTAAATTCAAGCCATTAATTCTTTCTCTTCGCTTGTTACCATTTTTTCACATAAATATTGTCATAAATTAAAAGATTCTTGAAGTTTAAGCAGTAAAAGTTTTATTAAAATAATTTGCATAATCTAAAAATACTAAACAAAAAAAGAGTCACGTGGGTCAAAATGGTGGGATTTTACTACCCAAGAAGTTCTTTGATCCACATCAACATATATATGTGGAAAAGTGAGACTAATCAAAGGAAATATAATATTTATATATATATGGCGTGGATAACGAGGGCTTATTTACATCTTTTGAGGGTTTGAGGGTTAATTTACATCATTTAAGGGGTTCGAGAGCTGATTTACACTATTTTTAGTTAGGGATGTCAACGGGACCTCGCAGAGCTGGGGAGCCCCTTCTCGTCCCCATCCTTGCGAATCACGAGGACGAGGATCCCCGCGGGGATTTTTGACAGGGGCAGATTTTTCCCTCCATCCCCATTTCCTAAGGGGAATGGGGATCCCCATTCCCCACCAATAATATTAGATGACTTCGGTGACAGCAGCAGCAGCAGCAAAGCATATGCATCCAGCAACAGCAGAGCATATGCATCCAGCAACAGCAGAGCATATGCATCCATCAGCAGTAGAGCAGATGGCTTCAGTAGCAGCAGAGGAGATGGATTTGGCAGTAGGCTTCAACGGCAGCAGCAGCAAAGCAGATGGATCCAACAACAGCAAAGTAGATGGCTTTAGCAACAGCTGAGGAGATGGATTCGGCAGTAAGCTTGGATAGCAACAGCAGCAGTGCATATGTCTTCGGCAGTAGCAGAAAAGTAGATGGATTCGGCAACAGCAGAGTAGATGGCTTTAGCAGCAGCAAAAGAGATGGATTTGGCAGCAACAGCAGCAAAGCAGATGTCTTCGGTAGCAGCAGCAAAGGAGATGGATTCAATAGCAAGCTTCGGCAGTAACAACAGTAAAGGGTTAGAAATGGGTGAGCCGTAGACTGTGAGTGATGAGAATTAAAATAAATTAGGGTTATGGTTAAATGTAGGAGAATGGGTTGGGTTGGGGGTTGGGTTGGGTTGGGTTGGGAGTTGGGTTGGGTTGGGTTGGATAGTATTGGGTTAAGTTTAATTGTAATTGGATTGGATTTGGGTTTGGGTTTGAGTTTAAAGAATAAATTAATTTTAAAATAAAAACTTTTTTTTTAGGGATGAGGATCTCTGTGCGGCGAGAAAAATTCCCTAAAAAATTTTGCGAGAAAAAATTGATCCCCGTCCCCACCCCATAAGGAAAAATATTTTTCTCTACCTCGTCCCTATGCCAAGGATCCTTGCGCGGTCGTGCGGGGAATGGGGAGAATTGCCATCCCAATTTTTAGTTCAGGGCTCATGTTAATTTAGAATAAGTCTTAGGGCTTAAAAGGGATTTGCCTTTTTTTTCGGCACAAATTTCGTGAAGAGAAATCCCTTTCAATGGAATTTAACTGAAATCTGTACCCTGCATGTTTCGCGATTCGTACAAATATCTGTTAGGCACTTTTGCGGAAAAGTTAAATTAAGTTGTTTTATTTTTTATTTTATTTTATTTTTTTATCAGGTTACAAGGGGCTGGGAATCCCAGCCCAAGAGGAAAGGGAAAGGGGATGGTCTCGAATTCAAGGCCTATAAGTGCTCCTATGCGAAAAGTTATTAATCGCTCTATTTTTTCTATTTTTTCTTCTTTTTATTCTTTTTTTAACAATTTCTTTTAATATTGGTTTGGTATGCTTATCATTAGGCTTTACTTGTCTGTGCTTTGCATAACTTTTTATAACATTTTATTTAAAAATATAAATTTATATTAATTTTAAATTAATTAATTTAAATTTATATATATGTACTAATTTAGTTACCAGTAATATTTTATGAGATTATAAAAAATTAAGAGTTTAGACACCACAACCATAAAGTACGTGAAATATTATGTAAATCCCATTTAAGTTTTATTTATTATATGATTGAGATTAAATATCTTGATAATTTTAATATTAAAATGTTTTATTTTTTATTTTTTTATTTTTTTATATTTCCTAAATATTTCAAAATAAAAAAACTTATAATTACATCACACCGCTACACAATATTTACAAATGAAATTTTACTCATTCTCGATGATAAGACATCATTTCCTCACATCATTTAACCATTTTCCATTTTTGTTGCCACTAAATTTCCTTTATTAATTTAATTTCTATCAATTTTCTAACTTTTGCATAATCTCTAAATGCGAAATGAAGAAGATAAAATAACAAATTATTAATGAATTAAACCAAAAAATAGAATTATGGTCAAACGTTAAAGGTAACCCTATTAGTATAGAGATTTGCTAATGAGTTGCTTAAAATTTGTCAATAAAGTTTTCGCACAAAATTAAAGGATATCATATTTTATAGTTTAAACTGTATTAAATTATAAAATATTATTTTTTTAGATAGAGAAGAGGACCCACTATTATGGACTCTCTTCTAATACAAGAGTTTCTGTTTTGCAGTTCAATATAAATCAAATTACAATTTTTAAAAGTTAAATTTTATATATTATTTTATGAAATATAGAGATTTATTAAAATTAAAATGAAAGAGATTATAACTCAATCTCCATATCAAGCACTATAATTTAAAATCAAACGCATAATCTATAATACTAGTAACAAATTAATACATAATCAAACTTAATATCTTTATAGATCTAGTCAAACTTAATCACTATTCCCTTTGTGTCAAAATGATTATTGCTTTTTTATTTAAATTTGTTCTAAATTAATAGTCATTTTTTTATTTTTTAAAGTGAACAAATATTTTTTCCTAGTCTAATTTTATTATTATCTTTTTATTTTTATTAATTATCCTATTACGAGGACTCTGACTTTATCTTTTAAATTTTTTTAAAAATAATATAGATAAATATTACTCGAATGTGGGTTCAATTAAATCTGCTGGATTCTTTGAATACTCTATGTCAGCATAATTATAAACAGTAACTAGTATAAATCTCTTAGAATAAGGAGCATATTTGTATACAGTTATAATTCTCCTAGACTTTAGGCACAAGATTAGCTAAGTTATGATTTTGGTATGGTTCTTTGTATATATTTGTAAAGTGACATACATTATGAATGAATAACATACATTCATCAATTTCATGGTATCAGAGCAGGAATTCTTCTTGTGACTTCATTGTTTTCTTTTGTCTCACTATGTCTACCGAATCCACAACCTCCCTTACACTAGCTAATAATGAATTGGATCCCTCATCACCTTTTTATTTACACCATTTAGATAGTCTTGGAACTGCTGTTGTTTCTTAGGTTTTGTAAGGAGATAATTATCCCATATGGATAAGGGCCATAACCATGGCTTTTGAAGCCAAAAATAAGCTTGGTTTTATAGATGGTTGTATTTCACAACTAGCACCAACTTCTCCAAATCATGCAATTTGGAGTTGATGCAACAGTATGGTTCTATCCTGGCTTCTTAATGCTGTTTTGAAGGAAATTGCAAACAATGTTGTGTTTATGAGAAATGCTCGTGCTGTGTGGATAGATCTACAAGATCGTTTCTCCCAGCAAAATACTCCTCGAAATTTTGAGATTCAGAGATTAATTGTGAATCATCTACAGCAGAATGATTCTGTGACAACTTATCATACAAGTTTGAAAGCACTATGGGATGAACTTTCCATTTATAAATCATATCCTACTTGCTCTTGTGGAGTAGTTACTGAAATCACCATGCTAGAAAAGCAAGATCATCTAATGCAATTTTTAATGGGACTCAATGATTCCTATGCCAATTTAAGGAGTCAAATTTTGCTAATGACACCATTACTAACAGTCACAAAAGCATTGTCTCTACTAAACATTCAAGTGGGGTTTAGGCCCAATGTGAAACTTGAAATTTTATTGTCCATTATGATAGAATTTTAGTTGATAAAACATGTTGGAAAAAACATTGTGATTTTTAAAGGAAGTTGAGATTAAGCTAGAAAAGCATTCATTCCAAATTGACTCAATTTTTTTATGAGAGAAATAACTCATTTGAAAAGTTGAACTTTTTCATTTGCGGGGACTAAATTGTCATAGAATTGGCTGTGGGAACGGAAATTTCTAGCGAAAAGCTGAGAGGAAAGGCACGATCTTATGCAAGGAGCCGGACTGGAGAAGAGGTTGAAGTCGACTATTTCCAGGCATGGGCTGAGTATGAGCTAGGAATGTTGGTCGTGTATGGGTCATGTTTTAGTCCAAGTCAAGATCTATTTAAGGACCCAAATAACGCAGTGGGCTTAAATTAAGATTGAATGATGGATTTAAGTACAAGTGATTGGATCGGGTCTTGCTTAGCGGAAAACATAAAAATGAAATAGATTCAAATCAGACAAAAGCACAACATATAAAAAAGGGGTTTTTCTTTCAAGTGGATGTTAAGGGGTGATTATTATCATTTTTTATATTAATTAATATTAAAAAATAAAAGTTAATATTTATTTAAATAAATATTTAATTAAAATAATTCACATGATACTAATAATAAAATTAATGACAAATTTTATATTTTTTACTCATACTGTTTTAAAATAATTGTTGTTCTTTGGTTTTAAGTTTATTTTAAATTAATTTTTATTTTTTCATATTTTAGAATAAAAAATATTTTTTTTATTTAAACCTTATTATTATCTATTTATTTTGATTAATTATTCTATTACAAAAAATCTTACTTTATCTTTTAATTTTTTTTCTAAGAATAATAAAAATAAATATATAAATTATTCCTAAATCTTTAATTTAAAAAAAATTAAAAAAACCACAATTATTTTAAGATGAGGAGAATAATACTATGTGTTGTCTCCAAAATCTCTCTTTCTGGCCGCGTGGCAAATAAGACTGCGAAGGCGTGCCACTCACTTTGCTCAAAGTGAGAAAGAGAGATTCCCGGTGACCCTCACTACTTCCAAGCGTGGAACTCAGTTGCGAGTCGATGGAAGAGCACCGGTTAAATAAATAATGAGATGCGCCCTGGTCAGACGATTGTCGCAGAAACGGGGG